GGGGCGCTGCAGCCTCCCGTGACACCTCGGACGCATCAGCTCGCAAAACACAGTACGCCCACTCCACGTCGAGCGGCGACCCGCAGGGCAACAGCAGCATGGTCCATTCGTACACGGCGGGCGGAATCAGAAACTCAGGATGTACGGAAGGGCTCCAGCTGTCGTCACCGCCAACACCCATGTGCTGGTGATCAAGGTGGAAAAATGTACGACCATCTGGATCCGGCGAAATCTCGTACTCGTGTCGAGCGGCGTGAATGGCCTCCATACTATGCTCCGAAACCGAAACATGCAGCAATGGCGCCGCCAGCGCCGCCAGGCCCTGACCGCCACCACCACCACCGCCGCCTCCGCCGCCGCCGCCTCCGTCGCCGCCGCTGCTGCTGCTGCTGCTTCCAGCTGGTAGCAAAGCCACCCAGCGTACATCCGCACGGCCGCCAGATTCCTGAGGAAACACGTACGGCACGCGCATCTCTCGTACGGCAGCGCCGTACTGTCCGACACGCGCGGCGGCTTTGCGATCCGAGTAGCTCTCATGCGGTCCGGCGCCCAGCCACGTCACCTTGCTGAGCCGGCCCGGCGCCGCGCCGCGGACCCCCACCCTGGCCAGGGACGGCACCAAGCCCGCCGGCAACGTCGCGGGCAGCGCGTGACGAGCGTCCATACGCCAGGAGATGACCACATGACCCGTGGGTCGGACATCATACAACGCTTGGATGCGAATCTCGCCCTCCGGGCCTGATGATGCCGTGGCGGCAGCTGGCTCTATGGTGGCAGCGGTTGCGGTAGTTGTGGTAGTTGAGGTAGTTGCGGTTGTGTTGGTTGCGGCGAGGGGACTCTCGAGAGCGAACCAGTGCGCGCCACCCATCTCACCGATGCCCACGCCCTCCTGTGTATGTGTACATGTATGTATGTAAGCATGTATGTATGTATGTGCGTGTGCGTGTGCGTGTGCGCGATAATTTGACTACATGTCGATGTCGCGAAGGAATTTGAATTTAAATTGTGCACATCATTAAAAAATATATACCGTATAAACATACCTACAAAGTGCAGATGCAGCAAATAAACTCTTGTGCTATAGTGGAGGCAGTGAGGCGGCAAGAAATAAATAAAAAAAACATTTACAAAAAGTGGAAGGATTCAGCCGCACCTACACATCTACTCTGATCATCATCCTGTTGTGCCTCCCCCACCCCACCCACCCCACCCACCCCACCCACCCCACCCCA